AAAATATTGCATAAGAATGAACTTTACCACATACTGTTGGTAGTTCCAAAAGGATTTTGATCTGAAATCTGTCAACAGATTAAGTACATTTATATATTACTGACACACGCCTGTTATATTTTTCACACCTTTACCATTCAAAATCTTCTGATCTGTACTGATTCAGAATTCATTCTGAAAATATGAGGTTATTAGACATTTTGTAGAATTCCATGGACAGGAGACTGGCATGTCTGACATGAATCTATACATGGAGTGAGATCTGAACCCACAACTCCTGTGTCTCAGCAATCAAAGGCCACATGCACTTTCAGCAAGTGGCCAAGTTCATGATTTAAAGGACACAAATGTATGAAATCAGCAATGAATTTGAGTAAAACTCAGGAACACAATGCTCGTGACACCCCTATTTATGCGTTGCATCTCATGATACATTACTTGTCGTAGGGTCGATTTCCCCACATGTGGGCGATGCTATTCACGAAGAAGGCGATGTTGAGGGTGACACAGAAGCGGCAGTTGAACAGAACCCAGAACGACTGCCACAGACCTTCGTCCCAGAAGTACCACGGCACCAGCACGGGGATGGCTATTACAAAGATGGCAAACAGTGGCACATACAGCCTGGAACACATGAAATAAAAGACATTACCATCAATTAAACTCAGAATCAGACCAGGAAGAACTTGAAGGTCGTCGTCACGTCTTTAAACATGAACAACCTAAACGTTTCCTGTAAAGCGAGCCATCTGTCGATGTGCGAGGAAAATGAGTAGAGTACTACTGTCACATGCTTGGAGTGAACCGCGAATTCGCTGAGGCCTGTTGGAACCATTTAAGTAATTGTCCAGGTTTGGTAGGGAGTACATTTTGTTTATACTGTAGTTTACCTGCGCTCTGATGAAAGTAATGGATTATATATGTCTGGCTTTTAGTTCATCAATCAATATATTCGACTTGTTACATAAACAGATCACATACAATACTCATCATAAATAAGGCGGTTCATAGAAGTGACAGCTGGCACACAAACCAACCAAACATCGTGAGAAATAGACATCACTTGTTTCACGGGGAGCAGGTTTAAACAATTAATCCAACAAGTGTTATTCCTATTAATATTAATTCATTAGTGGATACTATTATTCTCAACAAGTCAAATTAATGTTTTCATACTAATAACGTTCAATATTTTTAATGTAATATAACATTTCTTTGTGATGTTATGTAATCAACAGTTATTTGAAGGTAAGGATAAAATGATACCCCTGAAGATGGCTTAACAAAGCCGAAACATGTTAAACATATTGCAGCTAAGTTACTGAGCCTATTTGACTCTGGAGCGAAGTAGTGTACCCACGTCTCACAACAAGCCACTGATCGCTTCAGAAATGCGTTTTCCTCCGGCCCAGATTGTCGGAGTGACCATTCTGTAATGCTTCCCGTGGGGAGGCGCAAAGGGTATTTCGTCATTCTGGTGACGACGT